CCGGTCCTAAAATAAAGTGACCAGATTCTGTCAAAAAATAGAATTTTAAACTTTTTTATGCATTTTTGAAGGTTTTACATAATAAACAACAAAAAAAGTCACTTCTCTTATTTTTCGATTATTTAAACACCCGAAAGACAAAAAATTTCAAAAAAAATCATATAAACATATTTTTAAGATAAAATTAAAATAAAAAAATTTTGTTTAAAAATTCTCAAAATTTTTTTCATTCAAATTTAAATTCTCAAAAAACGCCACCTCAAATTTAAAAAAAACAATCATCATGACTTATTTTTAGGGGGGACTCAAAAACTGTAGAAGTTAGTTACGCCGCGGCGCGCGGTTCCGAGACGTGCGCTCAGTCTAACGAAACAAAATGGTTTAACGATTCTCTCTCTCTCTTTCTCTTACATACCCATTAATATTTTCAAACTATATTTTATTAAAACTCCAAATTATTTTTTTTCTATTATTTATTAAAAAAAACAAAACAATCAAATTAAAATATCGTCGATGGTTTAGCAATAACTTCTACACAGAAAAAAATCTAACATAGTACCAAGAACAGCGCTGTCATTGAATGTATTAAAATTGAAGCAATCTAAATTGTTATTTGCTCAATTAATTACTATTAAACCAAAATAGGGAAATATTTTGCCTAAATATCAAGGATTTTATTAAGTTAAATGTATACATAGTATACATACAATAGTAACGTTATTAAATAAATCAAATTACAATAACATTCTAACATTCTAACAAATAAATATCAATATGAATATCAATAGATTTAGGAGCGATAACTTTTGTTATTAATTTAAAAACAGTAAACGATTATAAACCAAGTGCTAAGTACCTATTGGTATTATAGGAACTGTTATTCAGGATACGGATTACAAGATCCCATTGGTTTAATGGCTCACCCATTCATGCTATGCTAGCGTTTTTTCTGTGTATATGTGCAAAGTAATTTTTTTTAACCGACTTAAGAAAAGCTTTACATATTTAAAAAAAACTTACTTTTACAATAAACATTTTTTAATTTAATTAGGTATTTTTCTAGGTAGGTACAATTTTAGCTAGCGTTAAAAAAATTAAGAAAACATAGGTTTTTATTTTAACCAAGAAGGAAAAAGTAATAATTATTATTAAAGAAGGAAAAAGTAATAAATATTATTAATATTCTATGATTTTACTAATAAATTCTTTGACAAATATTGTTCAGTTCACAGTTTTCATTAATATTTAACCAGTTAAAGACATAGAATCATAATATAAAGATTTTTTAGCAAAAATTTTGAAGAAAATAGTTAAAAATTAAACTCAAAATGGAATTTTAACACAACCATAAATATATTTTACACCAGTTTAAATTGTTGCGATGTTTCCTGATTCTTAATAAAAAAACGAACCTTAATTTTTAAGTTTACAATCTCCAATAATTAACAAAAAGAAAAAGATGTTGTAATTAGAGACCTCCTGAAAAGAAAGTGATAAGCCAAAATTTGGCAAAATCTTAAGTTTTCTTAAATACCATAGCCTCGAATTGACCAAATATTATAACTTCAACTTTAAAAGTTAATAAAATTACTTTTACAGTTTAAGTTATAATATTTGGTAAAGTCGCGACTATGGGATTTTAGACATTTAATTTTTGTAAAATTTACTTTTTACCCCCAAATGCCTTTAATTTTAGCTTGAAATTAAAATAATCCATCATTTTGTATAATGCCATTAAGACGTGAACATATCTATATGTATGTTCGATTCAAATGCAATGAATATAGTTATAGATATAACATTAAAATAATTAATTACTTAACATTTTAATAAAATTGGTATTTTATTTATTCAGAAAACTACAGTTAGTTAGAACTATAAAACCAGGGTTCATTATTTGCATATTTTAATTTGCAATAGCTGCAAATTTTAAAATATTTAGACAAATAACATTTTCCTTCTTAGTTACATTTGAATAAAAAAAAATAGATTTTTTTTTACCTTGCTAACTTCATATGAAGTTAGCAAAGCACCCATAAAAACAAAGAAATATTTTAACGACAAAATTAATTTATTCACAACTTATTAGCGACAAATTAACGGCTAAATATGCACCTAATCGCTTCTTGATTGGCGATGGATGCTTTGCTAACTTAATATTCATAGCAGCAGCACCTCTTTCAGGGTGTGTCTTTTGACACGTACTGGCGGTCTTGAGGTAGCGGTTAAGGGCTTTCATCGACCTGCATGGTCTCTGGCTTAACTAATCCTACCCCTGGCAATAATTACTATGTAGTTCCTTTATTAGTTATGATTTGTGCTGGGTTTCTAAAGCATTTATTTTGCAGTTCTAAGTTATGCAGGGCAAAATTAATTTAAATGAAATATTTATGCATAGTGTAAAATGGGAAAAAATAATAATTTATTCCCCCTTAATGACTTTTTTATTATTATTTTTTTAAATTTATTGTTTATAAATATATTTAATTTTAAAAATAGTGTCATTCAATCTTAATATTGGTTTTAATAATTTAAAAAAATATTTAGTTGAAGATTATTATACTAGGTAGGTATACAAAAATTAGTGCAAAAATGTGGATTATCTTTAAGGCTTGTATGTATTATTCCTTACAAATTTTAAAGGCGTGAAAAAAAGTAAAATAAAATGTACAAAAAACTTATAATTAAATAACAATTATTAACAATATCCTAAACCAATAACAGTTGTGCTTCATACTCAATTTCGGTTGACTTATGTTTAATAAAAGAGCGCTTAGTACTTACCTATGGATCAGAAGTGACAAAAAGTAAATAAAAGAAATCTTCATTTGTAGCTTCACGATACATTTTTTATAATCTTTGTTTTTTATCTATTCACAATATAAAGGATCCATTTTTACTACAACGGCACTTGAATAATCTGAGAAACAAGGTTTACTTATTGAGTATGAGTATGAGGTTTTATAGCTGGCCCCATCAGAATCGTCATACACTAGCCTCCAACCACCCTTGGGAGATCGTAGATAGGGGTGTCAATCCCGGGATCCCGAAATCCCGGGATCCCGAAATCCCGGGATCCCGAAATCTCGGGGTCCCGGGATCCCGGGATCCCGTAAAAAATCCGATACCGAAAATCCCGGGATTAAAAGTCCCAATCCCGGGATCTTAGTATTAAGTTACAAAGAATAAAATAGACTTAAGCGTATGACATTTTTCATACTATAATACTCATAAGCATATATATAAACACTTCATTTTTTACTCAGTTCAAGTCAAATTATTATACACCGCCGTACAATAATGAAAATACATTAAAATTACATAGCAACAGTGGTTCTATCTATAGCATAAAATCAGCAAAGAAAATGTAAAATTACAGGTCACTGTAGAATAAATTTATGTACATAACCTATAATATAACATATTTCAAACGTCAAACCTGAAAAAATGTCACAAACTTGATAATTTCAATGTAAGTTACAGCCCCAATTGGAACTCACCAAGGCCGGATTGATAAAAGAAATGGAATTATTTGTTAATGGGGGTAAACGTGGGTACAATGTGCCTACGAATTCTTGAAAACCATTCTTCCGACTAGTGTGAAGTCCGAAAGATATCGTTCGTTAGTTTGTTTGTTGTTTTATTTTAAATTGGTTTTAAAATTAATGATATATATTTTTTCGGGATTGATCCCAGGATCCCAGGATTAGTTACCTTTGGTCCCGAAAGGCCCGGGATTGGAAAATGGGCTCGGGATTGACACCCCTAATCGTAGACGACAATATCGATGGTTAAGACTCCTCCCGGAATTTTGTCACCGGGCCGGGCTATACGCCCGATTATTTGGCTTGTGGAGTTCGGGACAAGGAGGGAAAACATTTTGGTTTTCAGGGGACGATAGACTGACCCAAAACTAAGTAGAATCCGAAATCCCCATGGTCCCGGGATTTAGTAACACCCACACTTAATTGGGGTTCATGAATGGGACTTGGTTGGTTAATACGCTGTATGGGCCTGTCGTGCTTCATGTGGTAATTCATAAAATTTCAACACATTTTTATTTTGTTATCCTAAAAAGAATTATAGAACAGATATTAAATTATTTTGCCCCACTGTGCCCTTAGAAGACCATTAATTAACTCGTCAACATGTCAAAATATTGCTCTTGATACGGGTGGGTGTTTGCTTTTTTAATGCTTGGGTAACCGACTTGCTTTTTAGGCGACTATTTATTTTATGTATTATTACCTTTTCCGCAATGTTTCCTTTTGATATTAAATACAATTTAAAAATGCAGGGCTGTTTGTTGTTAATTGCGAATTTTTGTGTGGATTTAACTCTGGTACTTATCTTTTATCTGCAGTCCTTTTGGCGCTTAGGTCTTGTGTTTTGTCTCCCTCAAAAGTCATGTACGTTTTTTTTATTTGCACAGGTTTGACACTTCGCGATATTTTCGCATATATTCACTTATTAAAATGCTTAATATTGTACCCGAGCGATTTTTTTCGTTTGTTTCTATAATGTCTCTTATTTGATAAGGTTTTTTTAAGAGAAAGCTCTCACGCACGACTTGTCACAGTGAAATCTCAGACGCTGACCACTCATTTACTCTCTTTCATATTTTATTAACTTGACGTCAACTTCTTTGGTTTTTTCGTTGTCATTTATGATAATCTTATCTTGATCAATGAGTTCGTATGCCAAAATTACCATATCCTTCATAACATCCTTTGGTACTTCATAAACATTCACCTCAAAAGCAACTTCGTCGACTGTTATTACGAATTAACTGAGTGGTTAATGTTATTGGGGTTTCATATAACTTCGGAGAAGCAATATGTCCATATGCGTCGTTTCTGAGAATATTTAAATCACAACCTGTGTCGATTAATGCCAAGAATTCTTTATCTTGAACGTTAATCCTTTTTCGTGTTTTTCTATCATGAGTAGTTACTGTGTCTACTTTAACTGTGCCTACTTTTTCTTTAGTTTCTTTTTTATCACTGCGGTACACGTGGTTGACTTGTGGCCGAAATGGTTACATCAGGCTCCCGTGCTATTTCCTCCATGGCGAGTAGATATTCTCGTGGGGTTTCATATTTTTCATCTTTCGGTTTTTCCGCTTTTTGTGTAATGCGCTGTTTATCAAAGTCCTCTTTTAGTGCTTTTTTAAATTTAGTCCATGTTAACAGTCCTTTTTTACCCCTGATAAACATCTTGGCTAGTCCTGTTAATGATTTATTTTCAAAGATTAGTTTTGGATTTCATTCCACTATAATAATAAATCAGCTCCTTTAACCATGATTCTATTGGGTAGTCGTCACCACCAGAGAATGGTTTCAATGAATCATCGATATCTCGGAACTTTACAGCAAATTTAAATACGTCTCTATTCGTCGTTGAGACTTTTTTGTTTGGTTTCTATTTTAGATCTTGATTTCTCATCGTCTGATTCGTGCTTATTCGATCCGTTGCTATCTTTATCGTCGTTTCCATCTGCATCCCTATCTTTATCATAATCGTCATTTTCGGTTTTTTATCTTCTTCGTTTGTATTATCTAAGATAATTTATCTTTGTCTTGATCGTCTTTATTTACATCGTCGTGGTTGAATTTAGTTAATTTTAACAAAATGTTTTTAGTCGCGATCGCGATCAAATGAGACTAAATAATGAAATTCAACTACCTTGCTTTCGCTTCAAATTCAGGAGTGTCGTCAGCAAAGGAAAATCCTGTAAATTCTCGTTATTGTCGTCGGTTCGTCCTTGAGAATTCTTCTCCGTTAAATTTATTTTCGAAAATTTATTTATGGAACATCTTGAACGCTCTTGGCGATTACTTTGTTTTATTATGATGATTTTATTATAATTATTGATTTTACTCTTTTTTCCTACTTATTGCGTCATGAAATGTTAATGTCTGTTTTTTTTCGATTTCTCGTCGTTTTTCACACACGAGCATACTTCCATCCCGGTTGAGCCCGTTTTTTTTTATTGAAAAAGGTTTAATTAAGTTATTAATAATAATAATTTTTATAACTAATAACTTTAATAAACCTTTTTCAATTAAAAGCCTAAATTTTTATAAATAAATAATAATAATAAATTTAATAAATGAGAAAATAAGAAATGCACTTTTTGACAGCTTACATATCTCGTCTTGTCCGCTCTGTAGTTAGCTCCTTTAATTCGCCTCCAAATCTATGTTTATCATGTTCAAACTTTCTGATCCTACAATATTTATTGAATAATTTTATTCAAAAATTGTAGCCTTTTAGTTAAAATAAGTTATAATATAGGTCTGTGTTTATTGGTGTTGGGTTTTGGGATATTTATAGTTATGCCGGTTTATCAATTTTATGGAAAATAATTATACAGTGTGATTCAAAACTCAAGGCGAAAAATTAAGAAATGTATACAGTTTTATATTCTTGATAAAAAATGTAAAATAAGATTTTTGGAGATATGGCTTTGTTTCCGAGATATTAGACTTAAAAGTGTTTGCATGTGATCAATTTTTTAACTTTATTACATAATATAAAAATATAAAAAATAATTAAACCAAATGTTTAAAAATACCACCATTAGCACCAATGCAGGCTTGGCAACGCAAAATAAGGGAATTGTACAGGGTGGTCCACGTAAGGTGACCCATATACTTATCTCAGAAACTACTGGAGTCACAAAAAATTTGCAAGGAAGAAATATTCACGTAGAAAAAAATATTTTTAAAATATTATATTTTCATTAATACAGGGTGTTCGGTTTTCCGAGGGACGATACCAACTTTCTTATTTTCAATGGAACACCCTGTATTTTTTTGCATTTTTAGATTCTACACACTATTTTAGGTATACTTTGTAAATATATTAATTAGGAAAATGTTAATACTTTTTGAGTAAAATTAAAATTTATCAAAATTTCTCTAAATGTAGACATTCGCTAAAAGTTAAAAATAACCAACTAAAACTTATTATTTTTTATATTATGTAGTATTCATCTCTTTAATAATGATCAAGCTATAAGTTAAATCTTTTTTTTTATAAAATATTATACAGGGTGTTTTCTATGCTCCGTTGAAAATAGCGATTTTAAAAGTTCAAAATCTTGTTTTTTTTTCAATGGAACACCCTATATATTTTTACATAATTGGATAAAATATGTAATTTCCTTTCTTTTTATATATATATATATATATATATATATATATATATATATATATATATATATATATATATCCTATGTCCTATACCTAAACCCAACAGGAAAAAAAATATTCGCATTTTTCGCAATTAATAGCTTTGTGCGTATGGTAATTATTATTACAATAATATATATTTATATATAATAGCATTTTTATTTGTTGTTATTTTAATTTATTTATTTTAATAATGGAAATATAACCAAGCTAATTAGAAAATCCACAAAATTAATTTTCTACCTTATTGTTATTAATAAATTACCTTACTTTCTCTTTGGGAATACCCTCAGGATTAAACTAGGCACGAGTGTATTCGGAAAAAATTAATCTTTAATTTAGGTAATAAAGAAATACTATAAAACAAATAAAAGGTAAATCTGCTATTACTTTAATTCAATAATTACGATTGTTAGCTAGTTACAAGAAGATTAGAGATATTATATATCTGCATTTTAAAGGAAGGTGGTCATGTTGAACATTTAATTTAAAATATATTGTTTATACTTTTGCAATTTGTTTTATTTATTTTCCAGATTAAATCTGGTTCCATTTTAATCATTTAATATTGTAGAATTATACACATCAAAAAGAAAACACTCGTGCCTATTTTAATCCTGATGGTATTCCCAAAGAGTAGGGTAATTTATTAATAACAATAAGGTAGAAAATTAATTTTGTGGATTTTCCAATTACCTTAGTTATATTTCCATTATTAAATAAATAAATTAAAATAAAAATGCTCTTATATATAAATATATATTATTATAATAATAATTACCATACGCATAAAGCTACGAATTGTGAAAAATGCGAATATTTTTCATTGAAAAAAAACAAGATTTTAAACCTTTAAAATCGCTATTTTCAACGGAGCATTATAAACACCCTGTATAATATATTATAAAAAAAAAGATTTAACTTATAGCTTGGTTATTATTAAAGAGATGAATACTACATAATATAAAAAATAATAGGTTTTATTTGGTTATTTTTAACTTTTAGCGAATGTCTACATTTAGAGAAATTTTGATAAATTTTAGTGTTACTCAAAAAGTAATAACATTTTCCCAATTAATATATTTACAAAGTATACCTAAAATAGTGTGTAGAATCTAAAAATGCAAAAAAATACAGGGTGTTCCATTGAAAATAAGAAAGTTGGTATCGTCCCACGGAAAACCGAACACCCTGTATAAATAAAAATATAATATTTTAAAAATATTTTTTACTACGTGAATATTTCTCCCTTAAACATTTTTTGTGACTTCAGTAGTTTCTGAGATAAGTATATGGGTATGTACACTAATTGCATGTTTTGCCTATTTTGAGTGCATTCGACTGCATTAATAATTTGTTCCATTAATTGTTCTTGGTTATTAATTTCCACTGCGTAAACCAGTTGTTTTAAATTGCCCCATACAAAATATTTCAAAGGGTTCAAGTCAGGTGATCTCGCAGACCAATCCATCTCCCATTAAAAGTTTGGTTTAACCAGGCGACAACATTTCGTCTAACTCCGTGCTGAGACCACATACGATTGTATACCAAATCCACAGGAAAATCTTCCAGCAAATTTGTGAGATCGTTTTCTAAAAATTGTAAGTACGCATATGCATCCAAACGATTAGGAAGGACTTGAATCGGAAGTAATTGTCCGTTAAAGACTCCGCCATACATTAATAGAGAACCTTGGTTGAAAACTTCTTCTTTTAAAAGCGTGAGGATTTCTAAAGACCATACATGCCATCCCGAGTAAAAGTAGCTTTGTCCGACCAAAGCGTCTCTCTGAAGAAATTTTCATTTTGTTCATGCTGCTGAAGAAGCCATTGACAAAAGGCGAGTCGTTGCATGTTATCTCCTGGGTGCAAATTATGTACTTTTTGTTTATGAAATGGATGTAAAACTTCGGTTTTTAAGGTTCTCCAAGCAAAACTTTGGGATACATTACCAATTCCAAACTGTCATAGTCTTTCATAAGCGTCGGAAAACACCCGGCGAGATGGTTATTAGGGAATCTTTGTTGTTCTCCCGACAAGCTTTTAATGCGTTGCCATCACAAAAACCGTACACAAAAATAATATCTGCATATTCTTCGTTAGAAAACTGCATGATTAACAAAACAACTAATCCAACAAAGCAACATTTAAATTTGTAAACAATTTTTGTTGACCAGGTGACATTAAACTCACTTATTTCTAGGCTTACTGTAATTTTTGAAATCAAATTGGTCGCATACAGAAACTTTAAAATCTAATATTTCGGAAACAAAGCTATATCTCCTTAAATTTTATTTTACATTTTTTATCAAGAATATAAAACTTTATACATTTCTTAATTTTTCGCCTCGAGTTTTGAATCACCCTGTATATTCTTATAATTTCCAAGTGTATTTCATAGTCTATTTTTCTTAGTAGTTTTTTGGTAAATTTACATAACATAAAACTTTGTTTTTCTTTTAGAAAGAATTTTATAATATTCTTCTTTGATAATAGTTTCTGTCAAAGGAAAATTTTCGGCTATAAAGTTAAGTTACATGACTAAAGTTAAGCAGAAATTTGCCTAATTACTTTCTTTATTGTTTTTTTTTAATATTCTGCAAACAACTCCACTTGTTTGTTAGTTGTTTTATATGTTCTATCGTTATCAACGAGTCATGTTTTAAACAGGTTTAGTTAATTTACCAATTTCTTTCCAGGAAGTTCTTCCATAGTTTTCTTATATTTTGTTCATGCTTCTATTCATTTTTGTTGTCTATATTAATGGAATTAACATAATAATTATTTGATTTGATTTTATTTTAGGCCCCAATTTGTGAACATGCATTTTGTAAACCCTGCATTAATGAGTGGATATCGAGACAACCGACATGCCCTGTTGATCGACAAACTGTAACATCTGCTCAATTAAGACAAGTCCCTAGAATATTAAGAAATTTGCTATCAAGGTAAATAATTATATTTATGATTCTATGAAGTTCATAGAAAAATAGTATGAACCACACGTTAATCTTTAGGTCGACAAAAGAAAA